GAGCAGAGCAAAAAGCGAGATAGATAGATTTATATCTGTCTCTTATACACATCTAGATGTGTATAAGAGACAGGTGTGTGTGTGAGAGAGAGAGAGAGAGAGAGAGAGACGTTGCTGGGCGGGTAGGTGGGTTGGTGGGTGGGTGGGTGGGTCGGTGGGTAGGTTGATTAGTCGGTTGCTCGGTTGGTTAATTGGTTGGTTGGAGCATTGGAGGGTTGGAGGGTTGGAGGGTTGGAGGGTTGGTAGGTTGGTGGGTCAGTGGATCAGCAGTTGGTTGGTTGGTTATTAGTTGGTCGGTTGTGTCCGTTGGTCGGTTGGTTGACTGATTGATTGATCAGTCGGTCGATAGATCGATCGCATGAATGATTTTGATATTGCCTGCCACTTGTTGGACTCTGGACCAGTCTTCTCGTATTCTATCGTCGGTGCCGGCCCCATCCTCCTCCTCCTCCACCTCCAACTACACGAGTACTCTCCCTGTCTAATCAATTACTGAATCGCCTCATCTTCATGTTTGAATCATGCATGCTGTCAGTACGCACAACCAATTACTAATCACTCACACACACACACACACACACACACACACACACACACACACACACACACACACACACACACACACAGAAAGAGAGAGAGATGTGATAACCCGTCCAAACACGGACTGAAACACACAGCTGATTTCTGAGTTTTGCTCATAGACTGAATGCCCTACTGAGTTCCCCGCCTGCTAAGTCTGTGTGTGTGTGTGCTTGCTGAACTGCATGTCTGTCTGAGTGCTGGTTGGCTTGCGTCTGTGACCGTGCCTGTCTGAGTGCTGGTTAGTATGAGTGTGTGTGTGTGTGGCCCGCCAGGGCACTTGTTCGTTCGTTGGGCCCTCAGGGCCGGTACTTACCTGTGGCCTTGGCTTCGAAGGGTTGCAGCGGGGAAAAAGCACTCAAGTAGCGGGTAGGCCGGTACCGCACCCGGCAGGGGGGTAAATATGCAGGTACCGGAGGCMGAGCAGAMGAAGACAAAMGTGGCATTTTYAGAGGCCGGTAGTGTAGGCTAGGTCTAGCGGGTACMAGTCTGAGTCTAGGGCCTGTAGGGGCAATATCAGAGTCTGCAATGATGTTCCCTCCAAAAGAGGAGGASGTACYGGTTGCTTGGGAAGGCCAGCGGCCTGGAAGTCACCGCCCAAGAGGCAAAGCAGGCCGCTATATCTTCCAGCCGGGCGGAAG